AAAAAATATTTAGTGTCCCAACATAACAGCTGTGGGTCTGGCTAATAACAGCTTATTAATAGCTTAATTAAGACAAAGAAGCTGTTTTCGAACATGCACTTCAGTCCTGAAATGTCCCAGAGTTGCAGCTTATCTTACTTTAAGGTAAGTGAAAGAGAAAAAGAGCACCTAGTGTGCAACGTCCTATTTATCTATGAAACAGTAGGACCAATGATTACAATAATGAAGTTTTAATAAGAGAGAATAAGAGAAGATGCATACTGCTATTAATGTTAGTGTGGACAGATCTGTTCTCTAACAGCATTTAATGGTTGTAGGTGACCCTAGATTGACCTTAAATGTTTATAGATATGGCTCTGGTCCATTGCTAAATTGACCCTGTGTGGACTGTGACTTGAGCTGGGTCAACGCTGTCTCTTGCCCAACAGATTCTATGTTAGAAATTATTTCTCACCATTGCTTTTCAACCCGTGACATTAGGAAGCCTGTTACCATATGATCGAGCATAGTTGATCGAATATTAAGCAGAAAGCCTAAATAAATTCTCAGACTGATTACTTCAGAGTACCAAAAAAATAACGGCTTTTCAATATTTTTTGTCAAAGTAATAAAGATATTTTCATCTCTATAAAGGAATAAGTGCAGACTAAAAGAGGAAGAGATGAGGCAAGAAGAAATGGCTGTTTCCCTGATTTTCTGGGGCTTTCCTGATGTGAAACCACCACTTTCACATACAATCAGTATTTTGAGACCAATCGTTCATAGTTGTCTCCCTTTTATTCTAAACTCTGCTTTGCACAACCAAGAAAGAAGAAGTGGAAGCAAGACTGTCTGTAGAGGGAGGAATGGTGCTGTCTAACACCCCTCAGGACACGGCTTGGAGATCCTAAGCACTGATGAATGCCAATTTCAGCTCAGAGTGTGCAGACAATGTTGTTAAAATTTAAACCTGTTCTCTCATGCTTTTTTCCTTAGTTCACTACGATCCAATAAACTCAATCTGAAAAGACTCTCACTTTGGTTAGATCATACAATGATTAATATAAAGATTGCATGTGCCAACCCCAAAATAGAAAAATAAACAAACTGACCTGTTCTGATAAGATTCATATTTGTGCTAGTAATGATAACTTCTCTGTATATGGATTGTTGTTCACATAGCTGCAGCACTATTACCTACTTTATGGCTAGTAAAAAAAAAAAAAATCTGCTTTTCTGCTGTGCAAATTGCTTGAATAAAAGTTTCCAAAAATCCAGCAGAAGGATGATGTTTACATGCAGATTTATGCTGCTAATTGGTGAAATTCTGCCTCAACTGGAAAGAGAAGGACTAGAAACAAATAAAACCATAAAAAAGAAGAAGTGTGAAATACGATAAGGAACAAACGCATAAGGCCAATAACATTGATCAGATGACCATAACACGATCCTCTATGCCAGCTGGGAAAAAAAAACATCTGCCTCAATCTGTTGTTCATTGCTCTTAGATACTAAATGATTACGTTGGCCCTTTGTTACAAGTCATAATTCATCTCAGGATATACAGCTAGAAAGAAATTAAGACATTTCAGATCCATACTAAGAACTTAAGAATGAATTTAGCCATTATCTTACCTTTCCTTGTCCAACAGTTAGTTGTCAACAATTAAGAACTTCTTCAATAAAACCTTGTCAATATAAAAACTGGCTTTATTGCTGAGGAAAAGCACTAACATCTGCACATGCAGTAGAGCCACACTGTGCAGAGTGTCTTCTTGTGGTAAAACATTAATCAGTCTCTTGAAGCTTCTGCGTTCTGAGGTGTCAAGATGTGCTGCTTTTTAACTTCTGAATCATCTCCCATTCTCACTGTCTGCCAGTCGCCTCGTGGAAACTTATGTTGAAACTGAGAATGTAGATCGACGAAGACAGAGATATTAATCACTCTCATCGGTTCTAATCTGCAGATCATTTTGTCATTCATGAATAACAAAGGTGATGCTGCAGCACCATGTGGCTGTGTGTGCTTTCAGATCATGTAGCCAGGACTGTGGACTCAAACGGTTGTATCTAGTACCTCAGCAGCTTATATATAAAAACATGCAGAAAATGCAACCAGGGCATTTCCACAAAAAAATCCATAGGTGTTGACTGAGCTCTGAGTCATGACATTAATGCTATATATCAAAAATTAATTAATCATCAGCAGGATTTGTCCACAAACACCTCACGACAGCCAACTGAATTTCAAACATGTTTTGAGATTCTCCCGACCTTACGATTACTTATCAGGATGTGGTCGTTAGAGCCTAATCGCCCTGTTACCCCTTGTATACTGCACAATGTTGGACGCACGATGAGGCTGAAACTCGGCCCGATCGAAAAAATTCTCGCACAACTAGAGAATCGGCCCAAAAAGGGCAAAAAAACGTACAGTGTATGCCCGGCTTTAGATGAATAGTGGGGGATTGAGTTGGTCAAGGAAGGGTCTAGTAGCAAGAAGTAATAATGAAACCTAGTGTTTCAAATCAGAGGAAACACAAAGCATCCATCCTGAGTGTGTAGTGCAGCAGCAAAGCTCCACTCAAGATGACAAATAAGGACAATTTAGCCTGACTAGTAATGCATATACTTTTGAAAAATGCTGAGGCCTTTTAGGTATTATTATTTCTGGTGTACTTATCTTGCTGGTTTCCATGTTTCCAGGCTGCTGCTCTTATTTTTCTAACATGAAATACCAAATGTTAGACTCTGTTTTAGGCAACCCTGGAAATTCTCATATGATTGGGTCAGGAACTAGGAAGTAAACACAGGCTACACACTACTTAAATAGGTTTGAAAGGAGAAAAATATGACATTGATAATGGAAAGGACTGATTTTTAAAGGTAATGTTACTTTCATACCATCAAATGAGAATGATTTTGGTTCATTTCATGGTACATGTCATCTTTCAAAGTCAGGGCTACTGTGCTTATGCTCCAAATTGTGCTGCTTCTAAGGATGAACACAATTAAATCAAACTATAAAGCAAAATCATTGAGGTAGTTGTCAGTTGTTCACTAATAAACAGCAAAACCTTTGCTAAACCTTAGTGCTTGTCTCTGGAGTCCAGCAATCTGCAGCCTATGGACTGGAGCTAAACAATGCATCTCTCTATACTTCAGCTCAGGTAAGAAACAATCTCACTGCTGCCTGACTACCACACATGTGACTGGATCTAAGGTGTCTGAAAAATCCAAGAAAAAGCCGCTGAACTAGACGGGAATACGATTTTATTTCCTTCAGCACAGAACCATTGGTTGAAACAGAAGGAAACTCAGATTTTGGTCTCAGCTTCACACAGATCCTTTAGCCAAGAGTCATTAGCCACACATGTATCCACTGTGCTTTTATGTGGTGCTGTACATCACTCTGCCTCGAGGTCTTATTATATAACAGCAGACTCAGAGAAAATACTAATCAAAGTCGCAGAAGCTGCTGTTAGCAGCCTTCCTTCTGAAAAAAATATCCAACAAAGGTCATTCTGCTAGAAAACTACAACAATCAACAGCTGTAGATGGGATGTGAGTGGAGGGCTAAATGAGCCTAGTTAAGCTAGAACTGAAGACCAAACCAGAAGCTTGAAATTAAAACATAGAGCCAGCAGACTAAATCAATTCTCAAAAGCTACATTTACTTTATCATGTTAGGCTAAAATATCGTAAACACTGACTAATTAGGTTAGCTACTATTTCTTATTGTTTAGTCATTAAAATAGAAACCAGCTGTGGTGCATTCAATTTCAACTTACTTTTTTCAAGCTAATTTCAACTTTATATCAAATTGAGTTCAAATAAGAATCTACTGCAGAGAGTTTAGTTGGTTTGAACCCATTTCGGTTAGAAAAAATAAACAAAATAAAAAAAACTTAAAAAAAAGCTCTCTAAGCTATAAAACCAAAGTAAAATCTAGTGCAATAAACTATAACTACTCTGTAACTCAGTTTCAAATGTTGAACAAATGTATTTATTTTGGCTAAAAGTAGTTTTTCTTATAGCTTAGCGTAACTATTTGCAAATTGGAGGCAGGCTTCTGACATCTGAGAAGGAGAAACAGAGCTGAGGTGTGAAAGTCTCAATAGCCCAATAAAATGAACTCACTGACATACCAACAAGTTGTTCAGCTATCATTACTTAGTCAAGGGGTCACTTCTCCCCTGATTGATGGGGGCTGGCATGTGGTTGACCTCTTTCTGAGGTAGGTAAATTATATAGAACCAGCTTATGAGCAACAATGATATAAACAACTTCTGAAGAAATAAAGGAATAAATATCCTTCCCACATTAAAATAAACATTCAAAAAGGAACGTGTAAAATGACACCACAAATATTTAGCAGAGGAAATCAAAGGAGCAACAAGGACACACATCTAATCTATTCTAGAGATGGATAAAGAGTTTGAAACAAACAAGACTCAAATGCAAACCTAAATATCTACAAAAAAAATAGATTTCTGGTTTTATCGATCTCAACTCCAAGCCATAACATTCATATGATGTAATACTCTTTCATTCTTCTCCCCATCTGGAGAGCATAGCTTATTGTGGTCACAGAGCATAAAGCAGTGAAGCAATTCAGCCAGAGTTAAAAGATGAAAACCGCAATCTAAGCCTTTGATTTGACCCAGTATCAACAAACTAAATCCTGGCTCCTTCAAACCCAGAGTCAAACAAGCAGGAGTAGTGATGCCTGGTCCCCCCTGATCAAAGTAAACGGAGAACCAGAGCCGATCAGGTCTGTACACGTTACCTTTTCCCAGTTAAGTGGATCAGCATTACGGTGGTCTTGCCCTGCTTCCAGACAGCAATTTAAACTATAGATATACAGCTCCCTTACAGCTCCACAAAGACCAACCCTCTTTTATGGAAGGACAATAACCTTCCAGCAACCTTTAAGGATGTGATGCAATGCAACCCATGCCTTTTTCAATTGTATTTCTAAGTCATCATGAACATTCAGGCATTTGCCAACGCTCTCCTACCTGAGTCAGAATCTTTCTGGTCTCCATTTGCTCCGGCAGTGAATGGCAGCTTCCTTTTAGGGGCTTTTTCTTTCATCTCTTTGACGCCATCGCTGCGATCCAGTTTGGGAGTTTTATTCGTCAAAACTTTATCCTGCGAAAGAGAGAATAAATTACTGATACAGTTTAAAACCTCGTAGCCCATGTGCAGATGAGGTAAAGGAGATGCAACTTTAATTTCTGTACGTTTCTTTAGAGTAAAACCTAAAATAGATCACAGCCATCTGTGGTTTCTGCAGTCCACTTGCCCTTAGTGCTTTTTTCCTACCCCTGACTTTTCCAACCTCTGTGGGTTTGTCCATGAAGTTGTTTACCACAGTCAGCATGGGGATAAGAGGCTGGGCTCCATTCTTATGGAGAGATATTTGTGCCTTCGGTTTGAGCGCGCAGGAACAAATCCTGCTAAACTCTGGAAAAACTCTTCTCAACACACTGTTGTCGTGCTCACTTTCATCTCTGTGCTCGGATCCGTCTCTGCTCACGCTCGACCTGCTCTCTCCGCGCTCAACACCAGCTGTACGTTCGACTCTGCGCTCGCGGATTCATAAATGTATGGAAATATGGCGGTTAGAAAACAACTGGACCGGGATTAAAACAAATATATCCTACTGTCTGCTGACTGAATATTGTGTTTAAATGAATATAACGCTGAACTAGAATCAGAGCAAATTAAACTTCTTAAAGGAACAATTTCTTCAATCCATTCTATGGCCAAAATAATCACAAACATTTCTGCTTTGGAGGCTGAATTCCATCACTGATTCTTTTACCAGATTTAAATATAAATTCTGTAACTAAAACGAAACACTATTCCTAATATTGGAATATTTTGAAGCATCCCTAAAAATTTTCCCAGATCTAAACTATTTTTATCTAAATACTATTGAACCATACTTGAATCCGCAATATTATCCAACAGCAACAATAAATCCATATCAACAGCAGGCAAAAAGAGACTGATGAGGTAATGATCTAATTAGGGCTGCAACTAACGATTATTTTAAAAATCGATGAATCGGCCGATTATTTTTTTGATTAATCGATGAATCGGACAAAAAATATTTTTTATATTAACCTCTTTATTCCAAAATAAACATTTTAGACAGAACAAACAAGCACACAAGTACAGGTTGCTCAGTAACTGTACTGGTGCAATATGAAAAATAAATGTTTGTGTTAAAACTACGCAAACTTACATGAGAAATGTAGCTGTTCATCCACAAAATATAGGGTACTTTGTTTCATAAAGCGCAAAAAAAGACATTTTAGTTTTTAAAAGCCCCTAAGGGGTTCAAACAATAGGCCCCCCCATTTCAACAAATGAGTTTTTTTTAGACTAGAAGAGTTCTGCCTTTTAAGACAGGAAAGTATAGCAGTTAAAGTTGCTACTTGAGAAAATACTGAACCATAGAGATAAAAATAGCCCTGTGATTCAAATTATAAATTGTATTTGGAATAAAAATGAGAGAACTAGGGGTGGTAAAAAAAACACATCCTCCAAAGACAGATATTTACATGGGAATGTGGCATATAATTAATTGACATATTACTGATCTTGCTGGATTTTATTCTGCTTTACTTCCATAAATTGCAGGATCATCTTTACTTTATCTTTGCCAGAAGATTTAAACTTTAAAAGCCTTGCCCTCATAATTTGCAAGTTAATTTATTTATAAAGTAAATGTAAACGCTGCTTAAGCTAATTCAAATGAAATTAAAAGTAAAATAAGTAGCCAACCTTATCACTGTCTGTAACCTACTAACACGGTAAGGAAAGCATCAGATGAGCTACCTGAGAAACTAACGTTACGTTTCCCCTTTAAAACGAAACAAACATGGTGGTTCCGTGCCATGTTAATTTCTTTTGACAAAAGTTGCATGTTATCACTTTTTTCACTTTACAAAGCGCAGGCTATTCTAATTATTGTGATCAATTTGCGCCGTCAATCCCGGTGCATGCGCGCTTCATTTGCAGTCTGGACGCTGAGGCTCTGACTGCAGCGCTGAGAGGGACTCCTGCGGGAAAACGCGGTTGGGATGGGGGAGGCGCTCCACGGCAGAGTAGGAACGATACATGATTTCACGTAAGAGTCTCCAAAAGCCGCCAATGACACCGTAAAAAGTCCCCAGATTTGTCGCTAGTCGCTTTTTTGAAAAATAGTCGCTGGAGGGGTCTGAAAAGTCGCTGAGTTGGCAACACTGCACCTGCGGCGCTGGCTCGCTCTGCCATATTTTTTTTTCTTCCTCTTTCAGTCAAGAGGCAGTGATGACGCATTAATCGCGCGACACAACTAATCGATGATGAAATTCGTTGCCAAAGCTTTTAAAAGTCGATTTTTATCGATTTTATCGATTCGTTGTTGCAGCCCTAGATCTAATAACTGTTTTATTGACATTTATTTGAGATAATTCAAGATATATTATAGTACTATCTGCTGTCAATCGAATTGAATGTTGACCGCATAACTAAAAGAATTGTTTGATTCCCTGATTGTTTTTTTTTTCTTCATTTAACCAGATGTAGTACCAAAGTATACTAATACTTTGATTGGATGAAAAAAACCTGGCCGTGATTGGCTGATGGTGTGGTTTATTTACTACATTTATAAATTTGCGAGCGCAGAGAAAGAGTAAAGCGAGCAGCTGGTGCTGAGCGCGGTGAGAGCAGGTCGAGCGCGAGCAGAGAGGGATCTGAGCACGCGCAGAGATGGAACTGAGCGCGACGACAGTGTGTTGAGAAGAGTTGTTCGTGTTGTGTCACTGCGCGCTCGGATTGGTTCCTGCGCGCTCAACCCAAAGGCACAAATATCTCTCCATACATTCTTAGGCTGCTGGAAACAATTACAAGACCAAACTTATTTACCATCAACAGATGTGCATACGTGTGTTCTTTTTATCGCTCTGTTGTGATCAAATATTTATCCTGACAAAGTTCTTTAACTAGTTTGATAAAAAAAGAGGAAAAAAAAGAAGGTGGATGACTATCTCTTCTTGCATAAGACTTAAAATATTTACGTTAAAAAGACATGTTGAAGTAGGCTGGTACTAAGAAAAGTAAGAGTAAGAATGTAGTTAGGTAAAACGTAAGGTTAAATTATTAGAAGTTTATATTTAAAACAACATCTGCTTCTGGCCTCTTTCTGGTGAAGTGAAAGAGGATGTATTGAAAAGCAAAAAAACACTGAATTATACAATATTTCATTTTGTTCCCAAACTAAAACACCAAGTCTGCACATTTTCTCTAAGCAGTAACTTGCACTTAATGTAGCTACGTGGTCGATAAATTATAGTCCTATAGGAATGACATGTCAGGCCTGCTGGACCATTATTGCATGTTGAAATGTGCAAAAAACAGAAGCAGAATCAGGTTAAGTCTGATGTACCAACGATTTCTGACACAAAGCCAGCCACAAAGATGAATCATTTTGTATGAATAAAGGAGAAGGTAACATGCAGCAAACCACTAACACCAGCAACCATAACACCATCTAGTTAGGCAAAAACACATCCTTAGATGTGATGAAAAGCTTTTGTTTAGTCTATTTTGTCAGTTACAACATAAAACAGCGCTTTAATATCGAGGCAGAGTGGTTGCTTTCTGTTGAAGAGTACGGTTAGCAAGAATACTAGCATTTTTAATAATTGCATAATTTTATAGGTGGTATGTCATCTACCATTTATAAAGTTCTTTAGAGTGCTTTATTTAGGCCCTGTTTTAAAAAAATACCAAATGAAAGACTCAGTAGAGGCACATTTTTTGTAGTATAATTTAGCCATAACTATGGGAGTTTTTTTTTTTTTTTTTTTTACTTTTCTTAAGAGCTGCTGAATATATTAAGTTGTTAATATCTGTGCAATATTAATTTTTATAACATATGTTTTATTGTTGATTATAATTTAACTGCAAAGCATTCATTTTGTATATAAAGTTAAGATCCAAGTTATTGTTACTATAAAGCTGATTTTATCCAACAACTAATGATGTATCGATTAGCGGCCATTTACTTTAACACCAAATTTTTCTTTTCTGTCAAGAGGATTCTCCCATAACATCAAAGTCTACAATATGTTGAATTCAAAAAGTTTAATTCTATGATTATATTCTGCAGAGTTTATGAAACACTGACTGAATAAACAAAGGTGTGGTTTGCTCACACATTACTACTTATCATTTTAAAAAAAACATGAGGTTATTGAGGAGATAACAACAATATGAGAAACAATCAGGAACAAACTTTCATTTAAAGACAGGGTAAGGCTCTCTGACATACTGTCAAACTTGCTACTTGGTGTCGATGAAGTGAATGATCTGTCTTCGAGGCAATCCATCAATTAGTGGTGGGAGCAACACTGAGTGGTCATTGTTTTCAAGGGAAAGTTAAAACTCAGCTTCTTCAACTGAGCCTTTAAAAGTAGTCTTGCTTATTGTTATCATCACATTAAGGTTTAAAACTTACCTCCATGCAGCAGGGCTAAATGGAGGGTATATTTAGGTGATGAATGAAGGAGTTTGTGGAGTGTTTACATTTATAAACAGAACCATATTAAGTGCCATCTGTATCCTCTTTTCTATTAAACACACTAAAATAACCATTAGTTTTGTTACAACTATCACCGTAAAAACTTCTTATTCCCACTGATCACAGCAAATATAGCTGCAAGATTTAGATTATTTAGATGAAAAAACACCTGCCAGCCGCCGCGGTGAAGAGGAGGAGACGCGCCCAGAGGCTGCTGTTGAATTAAGTTTTCAGGTAGAAAAATAGAGCGGGAGCAAAACTGAATATGATTGTGCTTTATTAATGTATTTATTACAAAGTATTAATCGAACCCAACAAAGTCATCATCCTCTGTTTCTGAATTAAACAGCTGCGCTAAATCAGAAATGCCAATTTCCCCTTCTTCGCTGTCAGAGTCACTTTCCGTGCAGCGCGGCTCCTCAGAAATAATGCCGGCTTTTGCGAAAGCTGGAACAACAGTGCCAGCAGACACGTTAGTCCAAGCATCTACAATCCATCCGCAAACGGTGGCGTAATTTGCCCGGCGCTGCCTTCCACTTATCGTGAAACCGTGGTCTCTGTCGGCCATCCATCGCTCCCACGCCGCTCACAGCCTTACTTTGAACGGCCGCTTCACACCGATGTCGAGCGGTGGAAGTTCCTTTGTCAGACCCCCGGGATAACGGCGAGCACAGCGTTAATTTGTTTTCCCATGTTTTTCACATCAGCTGTGAGATGGGCATGCATGGAGTCACAGATTAACAGCGATGGTGATGAGTGGAAAAAAAACACCTGGTCTCCTTAAATTCAGCCACTCTTTCATCATCTCCTCAATGAGGTGGTCTCAAAAGTCGCAGTTACAACACACATAAGGCGCACCGCACCAAAGGGCGCACTGCACATTTTGAGGGAAAAAAAAGACGTTTAAGTGCGCCTTATAGTCGTGAAAATACGGTAATAAAAAGAAAATTGAGAGTGAGTTAATTGTCCACAGAATCGTCTAATTCTTTTTATTTTCTAAATTTTAAGGAAAAAAATGTCTGCTTTTGCACAGGATGAAATGATCTTTACATTCTAATACTGAGGTTTGTTGTTTCTGCAGGCTGAATTAGCTGACCCATTAGAACAAATGCTATTTGAAAGGGGTGTAGCCTCAGCAGCTTTTGTTTTTAAAGGAAATACACAAATGTGCAGAGGCAATTAGCACTTTCCAGGCTATGTCCTGGGAAGTTTAAATGACCTTTAATCACAGACTGATTTAATGTGACTTTTGCTGCCAAGATTAAGGAAAACAAAACCTGCAAGAGAAACCTACAAACAATTATTACTGTGAGAAACTGAGGGAGGGATTTTTCATTATTAATTTTTCATTAATAATGAAAAATCTTTTAAACTTTAAATGCTCAGATTTGGAATCTTTCATAAAATACCTGTAACAAGCATTTAAAGAAATTGATGTTTAGGAAATAAGCATAGGGTGAGCTGTTCAGTAAGAAGGAAATATCAAATACAAAGCTGTGTTTGGAAAATGGCTGAAAAAGGCAAGAAGCTTTAAAAGATCTGTAAATATTTTTGCTTCATGCTGTGGATATTTTTGCCAAAAAGGTTTAGGATCACGATGAAGATGAAAGAGCAGACTAGATGTCATGCACACACACTCGACTCAGCTTAATTTCCTGTCATACGCTCTCTTCTCATTCATCTTTATCCCAAGGGTGGATTTTCTCTTATGTGTCAACTCTAAACCCCTCCCACAGTCCTGCCCTGCCCCAGTCATAAGACCATGACGTCATGGTACAGTAGAGACAAACACTGTCTGCTACAGTGAACTAATCTCTCAGTCTACACTCTGTTATAAAAAGGATCCTGCTCCAGGACGTTAATATAAGCAGGCGCATGATAGAGATGTCTGAGAAAAGGCAACATGCCATTTAAGAGAGGAAACTAACAGATTTTTCAAACTGTTCTTTAAAGTAAAGAGAGAAAATTATACAAAGTGAAAATATATTTGTTTTGAATCAAATATTAAAGCTCTGACAAGAGGACTTTCCTGTGATCTTTGTGTATCTCAGAGCATACTTGGTGGTCTCTTAGCTGTGACTCTTTATTTAATCTCGTGTTTTTTACCCAGCCCCTTGCACCTTTCTGCTCCCTCCCTCCCTCCCTCCCTCCCTCCCTCCCTCCCTCCCTCCCTCCCTCCCTCCCTCCCTCCCTCCCTCCCTCCCTCCCTCCCTCCCTCCCTCCCTCCCTCCCTCCCTCCCTCCCTCGCCGTGGCAGTCTGATGCAATCCTTTGCAGAGGGCTGTAAATCTATGCCTGCATAAGCAATGCCTCTCTTTGCCAGTCAGCATCAGGAGGTTAACTGTTAATGTGAACCATGACCATCAATGTGCTTTGCAAAAAAACTTAATGACTGCTAAAGTTTAGCTTTACAGTTAAAGACTGTTATCCTCAAGACGGTTTACATGCAACAACATATTTACCCGGACTACCCTGTTTTCTAAGTGATCTAAAATAAAACATTCAGACATGAAAGAGACACTGCACATCTGTGCTAATGTTAAGAATGAAACTACAGAGACCAAGTTGAAATATTGCAAATGTTATAATAGAGTATTTATTCATATTTCACCTGACAGATTATAATTGGATGAAGGCAAAGATGAAAATACAGATCTGACAGGTAAGATCTACTTTCCTGGCGGATTATCAGAAAAGAGAGACAGTCTAACCAGACGTGCAGATTTGATAATTTATTTTAAGCTGTTGTGTGTGCAAATTACTTTTCAAGTAGATTCTGACTTTTACTATTACATGACATGCTGTTAGCGAATGCTTATACAGTCCTTTCTGATAAAAGGCTGTGATTTTAATGATTTAAAACAAAGACAAATTAATATTAAATGCACCTCAATACCAAATAAAAAAGACAAGTCAGTGCAATTCAGATTAAAGGATATAATTTATCCTGACTGGTTGTGCAAGACTGACTGGCCCTCCAGTTTATTCTAATGTGTTAGGTTCTGCTTTCTTGGACAACAAGCCGCAGTTATTTTTGGATTGAGCTGGCTTGGTGCTTTCTGTGTCCTTATGTAATATCTCAGGCAGTCTTAAAAACATACCAATTGGCAGATCCAACACTTGTCTACCAAGTATGGATAAGATTTGAAAAGCAACAGCAGCCAGCAAATCATCCTGTCTCTACACTACCAGGTAGAAAAATTCATTATGACTCAAACAGGAAAGGGAATTAAAACAGATCAGGTTCATTTAGACTTGGTCAACTAAAGTCAACAACCATCTCTGCCCTTTGCTGGTTAGACATTGAATTCATGCTGCAGGAGTTTGGTGACCTGACACCATCTGTAATACATGGAACAAATCTGGTGGTACGGTCATTGATATGGCATTTAATAGATTAAAAATGTGCATGGGAAGGCAAAACAGAGAAAGAATTCAGACAGTGTGGTGAAACTAATAGGACTTTAATAAAGTAATCACTGGATGCAATTCTGGGTAATTCCCAGGTTTTTAGTGACATTTCCCAAAGGTCTGCAAGTAGTCAACTGATATTCAAGATGAGGTTAAAGAACTAATATTGTATTGAAGCTTTTTCCTGACCAATCCATTTATAAATAGAAACCTCTTATTTAGGTCTGGGGATAGTTCCACAGCGTAAGGCTTTTTAATGTTTTCCATACCTTTTTCCCACCCTGCTTTTCCACCATGTCGGTGTTGAGTGGGAAGTGGTCCAGCTGGGGGGTTTTAGAACCCCCACCTTTGGGCATCGTTCAGATCTCCCCACGCCAAACTTCATTCACGCTGCCATTGCATCGTCATCGACCGTCTGTCAAGAGAGACAAGGATAAAAACAATTAAGGGAGCCATCCCTCAGAAAAGTTTAAGATAAACTACACAAGAAATGCTTTAAAAGTTCTCTATGTCAAACCGTCTCTGCAAATTCAGAGTCAAACTAACATGTCAAAAACACACGAATAATCAAAATGAATGTTAGTGTTATTTTCATAATCCATTCATTGAACAACTAATATAGCATTTCTTATTAGCTCTGCCATGCTTCTCCAGTGCTGTTTTTTTCCAGGTGACCTAACTTGCCCCCTCAGAGTTTTTATTTGTTTTGTTTTTTCTGCCTTTAAAGTCAAACCATGTCAAACAGAAACTGTACGATGCAGACTGAGCTCATAGTGGATAACATGAGCAGGGATGTCCAAATAAAACCTTTAAATTTCACATTGTATATCAATATTGCAGCGCTGACTTGTGACCGATACGATGGCAATATAACTTTTGCACTTTTGTAGTTAGGAATGTTAGAAAAGGATTGAGTAAGTGATATTATTCAAACAGAGAACAACAGTTGACAACAGCAGTTATGAGAACTACTGACCCATTCATTATTGACCATTAGATAACATGAACTTTAAACAGAAGAAACAGTGTTTCTATCAGCATGTTTATATCAGAGATTTTAGATCTGATTGGGAAATCCCTAAACATAAACAGACTTTGATCATAGTTCTTTAAACAGTGTCCAACAATTTGGTTTTGGGAGCAGAGATTCATTTATTTTTTATTTTTGCAGTGAATAAAACTTAAATTCTCAACAGGAAACATTTCACTGAAAAAAATAAAATCAGAACAAATAACCCCTAAAAGGAATAGGATTTAAGAAAATTAAGGAATTAAGAAAAGTTGACTTTTCTTATGGGATTATAACCAAGTTTGCCAGTTATAAAATGGACACACCAAAAGGAAAACTAAAGGATTAATAGACTGAGTGTCATTATGACAACTGGGCAGCCCATGTGATTTGTAGTGTAACCCCATGTTTTCAGATACAACGCAAACTCAAGACGGCTAAGGAATGTCTTTAAAAACATGACAGGCATGTCTAAACAAAAACCCAAACAGCCACTTACAGCCACAGCAAGCCAGTCTTTGTAATTGTGGGCTTTAGCATACACCAATTTACAACATACCAACCAAATTCAGAGAATAACTTGGACCACATTAACAACACGGATAATACCTGCTCTGGACGACTGTTCTGGAGGTTCATCTGCTTATTCATAATGAGAATTATAGTGTTCTTTTATGTTTGTTTGGAGCAGTTGAAAACGAGTAAAATGTGCATTTCTATCTACCTCCTTCCTGCAGGCTGCTCTGCTTCACAGGGCCATGAATTACTCATACTAGCTTTCTGAATTCTCCTCTCTATAATGCATTTTCTCCTCTGAGTCAAAGATTGTCTCTGAGGGAGTGAACAGATGAGACCATGGTAGCATTATTTTTCCCCTTCTCTGAGACACCAGCACTATCATCCCTGGCGCCACTTCCATTCCCCCGCCCCCCATTTGTTCCCTGCACTCTGCTTGATCCTATTGAGGGAACGCTATTTATATCCTTCCAGTCAAATCAGTCATTCTGAGAGTCAGCAAGCCGACCAGATCAGCTCAGCTGAAGTGGACGACAGCTTCGCCCCATTTACTGTTGCGTGGGGTGAGCGAAACAGCAAAACCCCAGGCCCCCTTCCTCTCCTCCGCGCTTCATTGTTACTCTCGCTGTGTTACGGGTAGGCAATCAACGTTACGTCCTCTAAAACTCCCACATCTCGCCTCAGCAAACAAAGTGGCAGGAAGGTCGTCTACTCTTAGAAATAAACAAACCTTGCAACAACACAGACGCACACCTCAAACTAGGTCAGCTGGGCTTCTAGAACAATAATGCACACTATTTTGGGACTACTATGATTGATGGTTATAGCAGTGGAGCATTTCGCTGATTTGCCAAACACAAGAAAATGATGTTTGCAAGCAAACAGTCACAAAAAGACACACACTGAGAAAACCCAGTTCAAAACCACAGGCATCATTTCCTTTGTAATTTTATCCTAGTCAAGACTTACAAAGTATCTGCTGACACCATGTGTCTTTGTGAACGCTGTAGATACTGAAGCCGATTTCCTCCACATGTAGCATGCTGCGTACATGAACCAAGCTCATGTACCCATAAAAAAAAAATAATAAAAAAAAAGGCAGAAGAAGGAACTTCTCTGCTGCTTTAGTTTGTAATTTGTCAAAGCTGGTTTATTTTGAGCTCTTCATCTATAACAAGATAAAATTTAAAACAAGTTGTTAATCTGCTTGCTGGGATTTCTTGTCTGTGTACATGCAGACCAAGTAGGACAACGGCAATACCATAACAGTTTGGGATTTAATCTTATCACAACGGATAATACTGCAACAGAAACAATGTTTTACATTTTGTGTAACGCTATCTGGTTAGAGCTCTTTTTTCTGCTAACGTATGCAGTATCTGTTAGAGCTGCAACCAACGATTATTTTTGCAAATCGATTAATATGTCGATAACGTTTTTCGATATAATCGGATAGCACAAGGTTCTTTAAAGATGACTTTTTACGAAATTAAACCAGGTGAAACTAAACGTTTTTCACTTGATATATTCTGGATAGAGCAGACTTTTTTGAATCAAATGCTAAATTTTTTACACTTTTTAATTTTTTAATTTTGGTAGAATTGCAGCTCAAGGTGGGTTGCTCTGTCAGCTAAAGGAATGTTTTAGAGTTTCAATACTCCAGTTAACTATTAATCAATTACTAAATTAGATTAACTGTATTTCAATAACTGATTAATACCGATCAATCGTTTTAGTCCTAGTACCTGTTATCAAAATATGTGAGAAAAATAGTATGATTTTTTGCAATGTAATATATGGTCCAGATTAGGGATGCTACCAAACAGGACGGAGTAAAGCAAGGTGAGCAAGAAAGACAACCTGTTCTTAAGAAGAGCTGGACTAGCCAGTCCTGCTTTAACTGTCTTTACACTATCTAGACTAACAGTTTATTTCTTTATGTGTGTCCTCTTCCTTTCTCTGTACACTTTCTCTATCCTTGGTGCCACTCCCTCTGCGGTCAGACAGAGGCCAAGGCTTCAGCATATTGCAGCATACTCTCAGTTGCTCTGGCACACACAAGCTTGCTTATGCTGGCATTGCAGTTCAATGCAAGGGTGTCAAAGTTGAGTTAGAGCAAAACTTGCAGCTAAATACAAGACGGGTTTAAAAAAGAAAAGAGCCATTTAAGAGGAAGACGGTAAAAAAAACTGTGTTTCTCATGTGGGGAAAAATGGCTACCTTCTCCCCATGCCTGCTTTTTAGATTTACAGTGCCATAAATTGATGTTAGAGGAAAGAGGAGACTATCATTGGGATTCATTCTAACACCACAGTAGAGCTAACTGTGACTGCAGCCTGAGAGTTCCTCACGCAAATACTCATTCATTACTGCTTTACACAACACTGAGTATGAACTATGTTTATCTTAGCTTCTTTCTGAAAGTGTTCTAGAGTCAGTATAAGGGAACTATTGAATCTTATAATTCCACTGGAAAACCTTGTTGATGGTTGCTCCGTAACATAACTTCACTTACTGCAGAGTCACAAAACAGGCTTAAATCAGAGAAAACTGGACTTTTCAGATTTTCTGAAGTTGTTTTAAACGCTGTTGAGTTTTTGTGACTCCTGTCAGCTCACACCAGAGCAAACTGTAGTTGGAGCGATGATGTTTTTAAGCGACATGGAGGTCAATCCTCCTAAGGACATTCCAAGTGAGATCCAAATCAGTTATTAACACGTCACTCTCCTGTAGTCTTTTGTTGTGCATTATTTGTTAGTAAATTCGAATCACGATGAGTGTGCTTATGTAATTTATTTGGAATGAGTTCCATTATGGAACTGTAGATGCTTTGAAGCTGAAACCACAATCTTCCCCCTCTGTTCACTGATGGCTTCCTTCAGCCCTCTTTCAAACACTTTGTGCTCTGTGTCCAAAATCTTAAATAAGCATTGTCTTTGGTTTATGAGATGCAAATGTACAACTGAATCTTGCCCAGATTTCGTGGCTGTCCTATGCCATGCCATGTTGTTATTTGGTTTATCCACTATACAAGTCTGAACACTGGATTGCAAAAACAGTGTTGCTCAGTTTTAGTTTAGATATTCTCTTTTTGGGATGAACCAGTTTTTGTCTGAATGTATTGTCAAGTTTGAAATTCACTAGCATGTTATGTTTACAGAAAACATATGAGATATGTCAAGGGTTTCTCCTGACATGACAAGTCCGGTTGCACTTTTTTAAGCCTGCTTTGTTGTTGATCCGCATGTTGACTGGAGATTTGCATAGGCATGTGTAGATTCATCATTGTAAGAAGTTATGGCCTCTACATGGTAGTCTTGTCTTCAATACTATTCCAAAAAAAAAAAAAAAAAACAGCTCTAAGAATATCAATTATAACATATTTGTCTCAATTTTACCTATTTTCAGATTGTGATACAAGATGACAAGCTAAATCACATGCAAATGTTGGCTAATCACCAAAAAGTAATATAAACATTGCCCTTATGATTTTGACATGTGAGCATTCCTGAAAGTGCAGACCATAAAAGTTCAAAACTGACCCATTCCAAAGTCTGTCAATAAATAGGGGAGAGCCCCGGTTTCACAGTTGAAAAGTTAAAGAACAAATTCAACAGCAGCAAACATGATTTTGCAAAAAAAGAAAGCAGCTGTGACACACTGCTGATGAATACTGATGGACATAAGGGGGACTGAAAACAAAGATGAATGTGCAGACGCTAAGTGCCAAGAAGAAAATAAAGGTACAGGTGCAGAGAGGAAAACCTCTTGTTTGCTTCAACCCAAAGCCACTCCTAGATCATGACACTCACTCATTGTACACACAGAAACACACCTCAAATTTTCCACACTGACAGCTGAACAACACAGCAGCTGCAAACAGGGAAGGG